GAAAAATCTAGTTATATATCCAGATCCAAAAATAATTTTGTTGAACCATAAAAATAATTATGTAGAAACACGAAGAGTTGATGACAATGCTGTAAAAAGTTCTGACAATCTAATAATCAATTTGAGCGTTCTACATAATTATTTTGATGTTCGAAACGAGATTATTTTCAAATCTGTATCTAACTGAATTTTTAGATACTTGAACAAAACCATAATTCTTTTAAGCAAGCGTATGCAAGTTTTATACACAATAATTATAATTTTTTAATCTCATTTAAGAATTTCTTGTCTGTCCTATTAAAATATTATCTATGCTTCTTGGGGAACGTCTTATAAATATATATCATAGTGAATTTAATTCTCTCGTTGTGTTCCTAATGGACATCTATTATCGTCTTTTTTACTACTTCTTTCACGGACAGATAGACGAGGTCGGTGATCGATCTTCTTTCTTTTCGTTAAATTGTTAATTCGTTCAAGCTGAAGGAATAAGAACTCGATTGATGGAAAGCGGTTAATTGAAAGTTAGAAAATAGAAAATTGTATAAGAGAAATTTTCTGTGACATGCGTCACATCGCAAGTAGCATGTCGCGTTCGTAATTACACCATTTCCGCATTTCCGTTGGCAACGGGTTAATTAATGCACATTGTGAAAGCTTGGGATCCACTGTGTATTACATGAAAGAAAAATTTTGACCGTGTATAGTATTACGCGTTTTAAAATTAAAGCGTACTCTGCGAGACATGCTGCAGAACGGGTGCATTGAAAAGCTTCTTTATATTTATATTGTGAGTATAATAATAATAATAGTAACAGTAATAACAATAATAATATTAATAATAATAATCTTTATTTTGACGTGCAAGATATAAATTCATAAATTTATAATTATGAAGATAGTATTAAAGCACTCTAAAAGATAAGACATCAACAATACTGCTATTCATGAGAGCCTAGACCTTGTTATAATTAGTTAATATACAGAATAAAGTAGGTATACATTTTGATCAAATTACAAATGAAAAATGAAAAATGATATATATGGTAGTGAATAAAGACTTTACATTTACAAATTAATTAGAAAATGTGATGAATGGAAATATATGATCACTTGAAAATGATGACATGAACGTAATGTAGTTAGCTTGTGTAAAGCGATAAAAAGAGGAGCAGCTCTTTTAAACTTATTATTAATAAACGAATATCGAACGAACAGCGAATGCGATGTTCGGACATTCATGTTTATATCTGTAAATCATTTATTTTTTCTTGATTTCATCGAACAGCATTCGATCAAGATAGCGATTATGTAACTTTTTCCTTAGGGCGGAAATGTGAAAAGTGAAAATTCTTTGTATGTATGCGTGTATATGTACGAACATACATAAAAATTTTTACTTTTCATGTTTCCGCTCTAGCGAAAAAGTTACATGATCGCTATCTAGATTCAGGTTATCTTCGAATTTCTGTCTCGTAAAAATACCTTCTGGCGATCTTTATGAATTTCATATATGGGATTTAAAGATTAATGTCTGTTTTTTTATTGATATAACTTCAATTTCGGTTCAATTTAATCTTTATTTTTTTTCTAATTCTTAGTGCTAGATATAAATAGATGAAGAGTAAATTAAATTGAGATTAAAGTTAATCTATATTGATAGAAACCGACATTAATCTTGTTGCGCTAGACGTCTCTATATTGGCTATGTATTAACGCGACAAAAATAAAATTCTTTTAAATAGGTCGTGATACTTAATGATACTCAATCACCGAGATCGATGACAATGAGCGAGCGGAACGACACATTACGATTGTGTGTCTGATCAACGGTGTTGGACAATCAATCACAGTTAAGATTTTATTTATTTGATTTCATAGTCGCGCGTAATCACGTCATTACGAGCCGCTCAATTAATGCCCTTTCGTTATGTGGGGTAGTACAAGGGTATAATAATTACGACAATCATTTCTCGCGATGTCATTAAGAAGGCAGGATTACAACAGTCGTTTCTCGCGGTGTCTTTCAAGATAGTGAAAAAGACCGGAGGCGATATATTTCTGACAAATGATTATGTCAGCCATCGATCAATTGTTACTTTTGTGTTCATCGTATCTCAAAAGTTCTATAGAAAAATTCCATCACAAATGAAAATTGAATTAGTTTGATTGAAAAGATTGAATTAGCTTGATTGAAAAGATTGAATTTGTTTGATTGAAAAGATTAGATTTGTTTGATTGAAGATATCGACGTTTCTTATTGAGACTATTCTAAATGCATCATTAAATCTCTGTGAAACGGGATACGAATCCGTATACGACAAATTGCGCCCAAGTATTGTGTGTGAGATTTTTTTTTCTGTCTTGATAAAGTGCACGGATCTCTTTGACCCTATGTAATACGAGCTGCATCCAAGTTCTTCGTCTTTCTCCGAGACGAGCTCCGTCAAGTACATGAGGATTGAGATTCGCGATCGTCTCTGACGGATGGCTTAGTCGAGGGATCGTGGTCATAAATTTCATGTCTTGGTACCGTACGTAGAATGTTCTGCGAGAAACGCACTCTTGCGGAATTGCTTGATATTCTGTACTATTTACTGCTTTCATTGCACGGAAAATATTCAAGATTGCTGCGTTCAGCAGAGAAAGCAGCTTTGCGGCTACTGTAACATTCTTCAATTCAATTGATTCTTACTTTTGATTCCTTACGGATCTAAATGTACAAACCATTCATATTGAAGAATTTTACAATAGTTGCAAAGCTGCTTTCTCTCCTGAACGCAGCCAATTTCGAATATTTTCCGTACAATGAAAGCAATAAATAATACAAAATATCAAGCAATTCGTCAGTAGTTATATCTCTCAATCGCATCACAATTACATTTTGAATTTATTTCTGTCTCACTACTGTGAATGTTTTTAAAATTGTTTAAAATGATTTTTAATCCAATCATATCCAATATAATTAGAAAATTATTAACATTCGTACTGTTTGTTTTTTAATCGAATTGAACGTTTCATTGCCAATTTCAGTGTTTCTTCTTGCGTGCACTCAACATCAATAATCGGATGAGAATGCATTTCCTAAGGGATGCACCTAGTCAGTAGAAAGGTAGTAGCGTGGCAGAGGTTCCGTCGGTCTCGTGTTTCAGGATTTTTGTCTGGAAGCGACGGCGTAGAATAACGTAGGTATGTTTATGGGGTGCAGCTAGTGCGTTCATATGACTCCACGCCCATAGTATAAAGTCAGCTTAAGGACTTGTCGCCTATAGCGATTGTGCGGGTTTCGCAGCGTGAACAGTATTTGATCATTCCTCACTTATGTTCGTTAAGCTCTAGAAATGACACGGAGTAATTTATAGCAAGAGGAATCGCGACAAGATCGATGAAAATTACACGATATACTGACAACATGATATTTATCATTAGTATAGAAACAAGACAACTCAGAGGAGATTGCTGTGAAACATATTTTACTTTGCGTTTTTTAATACCTGTGTGCGGTATTTTGCATAACACAGTTATGACGATCGCGCCGTATAATTGTAATATTGAGCGTAGGAAGTGGAACGTTTCAAGGGACGGATGATTTTCATAATGCTACAGAGATGAGCGATTTGCAAGAGGGCTTCTTCGAAGGATCATTGTGAGTCTCTCTTCCGTGAATCCGGGAATTCCAGAATTTAATTTCCACGAGGATTATTCCTCTCGCGGGATCGGAGCAGCTGACCGGTCGCCTCATTAACATTCGCCGTATCTCGCTTCAGGCGTTTGTTCGTGAATGAAACACAGGAACCTGGCACGAAATCACGTGCACGCCGATCTCAGAAGATCGGTGAACCATGTCGAAGGCACGTCTCTCGGATATTTCGTGTTCCATGATCCGTTTTTTTTTTTTTTTACGTTTATCAAGTTCGTGTTGCATCGAACTTGTGTCGCAATTTTACGACATCGAACTCTTTGTCGACTTATTTTACTATCGTAGTTGTTTCCGTTGTTGTTTATATTATCTGTTCTTTATTGATGAACTCTCTGAAATAAGACAATAAGTTGAAGTGAAACAAATATATGGAAAACCAATTTTTGGTGTCTAATAATATTTGTGAATTGTATTCTTGTTAATTTCTAATATAAGCTAATTGTGCGTCGATTATTTGTCGGTCTTGGAACACAATCTTAAACTGAAGCTGGAGTAGTAATATCACAATTTAAAATGACAAGCAATTTAATATTATTATGCTGCAAATAAGCATCTTAGTAGCTGTTAATAATTTGATGCTATATACAGAGTTGCCACAGAAAATAAATTTTAAAATTCCCTGATTTTTTCAGGTTTTTCAGATAAAAATAAAAAATTTTCCATGATCAATATAAAATATGTAAATTTTAACATTTAGATGTAAGGATTGTAGCTGCATAATAAAATTTTAAATGCAAATTCAAACCAACAAAAAATAAATTAATATTGGAAAAAGGAATTCAGTTATGACGAAAAAAGGCGATCAAATAAAAATAAATCGAATGAAATCTAAATTTTCATTATTTTATTAAAAATTGTTTAATATGCACAAGTTTTCAACGTATTTGATTATAACGTCAAATATAACATAAAAAACCTAACAATTATTTAAAATAGAAGCAATTTAAGGAAATATTGTGAGCAAAATTCAAAATTCTAGATTCTTTTATACTTTTTCCTGACTTTTCTCTGTTTTCCATGACCAATTTCAATTTTCCTGATTTTCCTGGTTTTCCAGGTCTGTGGCAACCTTATGTAGAAAAACTATTCTCTATGCAAAACTATTCTTTGTTGTTCGAAGAGTAGGATTTTTGAAACGTTGTAACAAAATTCAAAAAAATGAAAATTTTTACTGTTTAAAATTCAGATTGACATTCGCATTAATAGAAGGATAAACAAATGTATTAAACGTATTAAATTCTACCGAAATGAATATCTCATACAATTTAGCCAAAGTACCAAAGAGTGACAGACGTTTGGGGATCATGAATTCAGTTGTCACTTACTGGCGACGGTTATAACGAAATTTTTAACGATTTGATTTTAATATTCGCACGTGTCGGAATCTTCACTGGTTTTAATGGAGCTCTCAAATGGAAGATACGCGGTAAAATACGTGGATCCATAAGTTCGAATGATTTAAGTAACGGAAGTCTGTGATATATCGAGCATTTATACGTGTATATTGCCAGATTCGTTCGAAATATGTTACAGCTGTAGTGAATTTAAATTGCGTACTTCCGGGCGATCGATCGTGCGATCTATTCAACTTGCATACAATATCAAGACAAACTTCAGTAATTACATATCGATGTATTTTGCTGCTCAAAATTCGTCATTTTCACTAATTTGCAATAAAATATTTCGGATATCGTATAACTCGTTATGTATTTGTTTCGCCCACTTTATTTTTTGTTTAATTTTATTTTTTTCGCGTTCGTGTACTTTTTCTTCACGATACAATAATGTGCATACGACGCGCAGTTAATATCGGAAATGCAAAATATCGCGCCGTTGTGTTTTCGCGAGTGTTGAATGTGTGCATAGAAACGAGATGGAGGCTGAGAGGAGAAGGCCTCGGAGACATCGAGAAACCATGGCGAAACAACCATAGGGTAAATAATTGTTTATTATTCTATTTATTATTTGCAGAATTAATTTTTATAATTATTTTATACGCTGCAATTATTTGTTGAAGCACATTTGTTTGGAATATTATTATAATTTTGATATATTTGTGTTTTACAGTTCAACGCACAGTTCACGTAGTTCATATCCACCGCTGCGTTTTGGTGAGTGATAAATTACATATTTAATTGAAGATAATGGATATGAAAACTGTATTATACACATACACATAAAAAGTACGTAAATATATTTATGTCTCAAATTAATATCATAAAATACAGGATAGAGTGTAATATTCCATAAATCTATTAAAATAATAATAATAATAATAATAATGGCTATGAAATATTAAAATAATATTTTTAACCCTGAATAATATAATATAATTGCTAATTTTTTGTTAATATTTTATAGCTTATTTCCATATTTATTCATAAAATTATATTATTAATATATTATTCATGAAAGATACATAATGACGTGAAATTTAATAAATATTTATTATTATTAATCAGTTTATAAATTCTGCGTAATCCGAATTGCCAACTTCGATTGATTTGAGAACCGTCGAAATTTTGATCTTTTCTTATTAAAATTTTCTATATTAATTAATATTGAAAATATAAATAATTAAAATATTATAGGTAAAATACAAAAAAATTTTTTATAACTATTGTTAGAAGGTATTTATCTCTTCTCTATTTCATCGATTAAAAATATCGCTGACACGCATAAGCACACGCGCTAGGATACGGGAAGACACATTTACAGGTGTAATCTTCCGAGACCTTTCTAGACCTCGCTTTACTCGAGAGCGACCTTTTCGCGAATCGACGGTTTCATCAAATGTTAGGAAAACCTGGTGTGCAAAATTAGCTGGATACTCGCATCACGAGAGCAAAGTAAACCGTGAACGTTATGCTTATGCTACTTATGCCACTTTCCATAATATTGTGCAACAGATAATGTTTTTCACTGCCCACAAAGATATTATTACTTCATGCGCTATAAATCTTCTGTCGGGGAGAACGTTGACTCGAATCCCGTTAAGTATCATTTGCTTTTGCTAGTCGAAGAGACTTGTCATTATAATAAAAGTGTCTATCGAGCAACAGACGACAGCAACAGACGTCTCATATCATATGACTGTCCCATACACAAAGTTATCTGATGTCTCAAATATCGCAAAGGATTGTTACATCTTAAAAAGTGCAGACTAAACAATCGCCGACACACTTCTTGCTTTGATATACTACTTTGATATACTACTTTGATATACTACTTTGATATACTGTATTAGAAATAATATCCGGATATTAATATGCACAATTTTTTTTTTATTTGCATAGATATATTTCAAGTCAGCGTTCTTCGAGTCAGCGTTTAACGATGACGATATTCATGGATTCGTTTTTAGACAAAATTTACTAATTTTTAAGGAGGTAGATAGTTTAAAGATACGCAAGTTGGTATAAGAAATGTAAATTTAACATAATGTATTAGTAGAAAATATCAAAATAAAAAATAAAGCTATAAAATAACTAATAACTAACAATTGTATAATTATAATTTAACTATAATAATAATAACTATAACAACTATATAATTTAATTATAATAATAATATAACTATACAATTTTTTATACTAGACTATTATGTTAAATTTACATTAGTAATTATATCCTTATATGATAGACGAACGTGAAAATAATGGACTATAAAACTTCTGGGCAGCTGGGCATTACTTTTTATTTTCCTTTTAACAAGGAACAAAGTTTTAAACTACACTTTAAGTGCCATAACTATTCTACCTACTATAATAATTACTTTAAGGTTCACGATATTGATGTGATTAATACATTGGTAGATCGTGCAACGATTTCATACAAAAAAAAAATCTCTTTCCGAAAAATCTAACGAATCCTCAATCAATCCTCACTTCGAGTAGGTGGAGGGACACGGTGGCCTCCCAGCAACAATAATTAATTCTTGACGTCTGACGGTAATTAAAAGACGAGTCGCTTCGTCATCGCACCCACACGCTCGGCGTTGGAAAAAAGACATGCGTGAGTATGCGCCGCATGCGGGATTACAATGTGGTTTTGTGCTGCTCACGATTGTGCGTAATTAACATACAATATTCTTAGAGCAAAAAGATCCGTTTCTCATACAGAGAATCACTTTTTAAAGATAGCTTGTGTACATACTAATCCGTTAAGTATCATTCTCGCATATAGGTTTATCCCAGAAAATACGAGCTGTTAGGAGAACGATTGCATAAATCATATTATCCTCCTTAGTTGATAGATAGAGATATCTGAAAGACATTTGTGTCTGTTTCTCGAAAATATAAAAAAATCAAGCTAAACTCGTTAGTTAATTTCCGTTGTGCATTTATCCACGGATGTGCTTCGTTAGCATAATTTTTGTTAACATAGTCAAACGTGGATGAATTCAGAATGCAAATCAGCTTTCGCTTGCTAGTAGGATTGCTGTTTCATGGGCAGATGGGAGACGGAAGATACAGTGTATCCAATGTCCGTCAACCACTCAATCTTTGATACACGGTGTCTTTGAGCGATATTATCTTACGTTGAAGCTCGTTCGTATTTATCAGCACTTTCTTCATCTCTGCCTTCCCTTTCGGAGTTCAAAGCTATAGAAACTCCCTACAGATATTATATCTCTCGATCTCGCGTCGTTGTTTTATTAAAAAACTTTTATGGCGATGCTTCCAACGCTTCGGTGGTAAAACAAAGATTATATTGTTTAATAAACGAATTAAGATAAGAACGGTATAATCTTTTTCATATTAATTTTTATTTTTGTTCTCTTTATCGTAGTAAATTTAAGGTTGGCAGAATTCTATATTTTTTTTTGACAAATTAAGTTTATACCAGTAGTAAAAAAATTATACTTTTGGAGAAAATGGCAAAGAGATTAATCTTTTCTATTAAAAGCAATAAAATAAATAGGAAATTTTGTTATATTGACATTCTAATTTAGTTATTCTAATTCTAATATCACTGGATACTTTAGTTCAGCGTTAATTGAGAGCGCGCGCTCGCGTGTTCCAATTTAAGCTTTATCTAAAATAAAATCCGTAAAATTAGGACTCGAGTGTAATGAGCAAGTTAGTTTTTTGTTTTTTTGTTACAAGACCAGATGGCAGATCTATGTTGATAAAAAATTTTAATTTTGTTGTTGTTATGTTTTCCTCTTATGAAACTAAAAATATAGAATTTAATGATATTTATATTATCTCTAAAGTTTTTGCTTTAAAAATATATTTCACATATTAATGTGAATAAAGAAATTTATTGTTTAAGATATTTTATTATTATTGATTCGTTTTGTTTTTCTTGAAAACAATTGAAATTATCGCATGATTAGTATGATTTACTATAATTAAGAACAAAAATATCTTTTTGCATAAAGTGTATAAATATATTTTAGTATTTTTGCCAGTTTATTCCTTGGATAAAATTCGAAATTTATCATTTTCTCTATCCACTGGATTTTTCCGGCCACCTGAGATAAATACAATGTTTTGAGTGCACATTCGATTCGCTCGTGTCGGATTTTCACGGGCACGCGCTCCATAAATGCTAAGACCGATTTGCATGTGATTATTGGTGGGCGTTTCTACATCGACGATCGAGATCTTTATCACGTTACTGTAACTGTGTGAGATTCCCTTCTGCAATGAGATTACATGGGAATTAGCTATGGCAGCTATCGGAATCAGACCACGCGTCGATTTTTAATTGCCACACGGGTGGAAAATTGAGTTTATACGCGATCAAGCATTGGGATAAGCCTCAACATCCGTCTTCGATACTCGTGCTATCGATATAGATCGATATCTTACCAATTACTTAAGTGACTACTCTTGCTCTGTAAATACGCATCGTAAATTCGTTTGAGAGACAGCGAGAAAGTTTTAACAGAGCCGTAATTAATTGCAATTGTGCTTCGCGAAGAGCAGGATGTATTTTTACTGAAATTTATCTCTGAACGTCTTCATTGACTTGAAGCCGCGCAGCGACCTGGATCGTACGTAACTCCGGTAATTTCGGTGCTTTCGCGATAAAACCATCGTAAATCAACGGTGTGTCTGGGTCAGCATAGCTTACGTTCAACCTGCTTCCCGAACGAGATTCGCAGAGTCGCCGTTGGCAAAACAGCGGCGATGCGGTGGCAGCTAAATGGCTCTGTCATTGAGACCAGGTTGTCTCTCCGCACCGTTAAGTATAGGTTTCTATCAAGTTCCGCAATTCCTATTCGTTTGATAAACGTCCTACTGCGTTATCAGGTAAATGTTAATGACCTTGCCGATCTTGTATTCCACGCTTTGCGGTTACAGAATTAAATGCAATTTTCCCCTCTCATAAGTATTATCCTATCGTTAAAGTAATCTGCTTTATTTAAATGTAATTATTAGTAATGCACGGGAAACATTATTACGCTTGCAGTTATTCGAAGGATCGATTAACGTACTAATGGCAGTACTTGTTCCAATATAAATGTTTTAAAATATTTTTTCACGTACACGGAAATGACTGTTTTGCTAAAAGTATCTGAAAATTTAGTTAGATACCGATCTGAAACTAATTTTGTTGGATCATCAAAATAATTATGTAGAACACTCAAGCGTTGATGACAGTGCTGCAAATGATGATCTAAAATTAATACCAAATTATTTTTATATCTGAATTTATACTGGAAAAGATTTACTAAATTTTAACAAATATTTATTTGAACGGTACTAACTAAATATTTACTAAATGTAAACATATATTTATTTGATACAAGAATCTTAATTTGATTTAAGTATAATTTTTTATTGAGTAAATATTTATTTATTGTAAGTAATAATTAGTACTGTTCAAACAAATATTCATTAAAATTTAGTCAATTTTTTCAGATTAGCTAACTTAACTTTTTCAGGTACTTCAGCAAAAGTGTTCTTTCTCTGTAAATAGTTATCGCATCAATAGTTTATGTTAAACGCCACACCGTCGGCCGTGTAGGTAACTTTTTCCGATAATACATTTGTATATGTACGAAACAGAGGTTCAATTCCAACAAAAGTTCTTGGAATATTGATTAACGATACCTACTTGCCGCGTCTCGCACCGGATAACGATCGGTCCGAGTCATG